TGAATCTTTATCATTAACACTTAAATGAAATAAACGTGTATTATTTTCTTTTTCTTCTTCAATATAAAAAATATTTTTTTGTAAATGATTATCTGGAAAAATAAAATCAATATCCGGTGAACAATCATTTACATCAAGTATATCTATTTCAATTTGAGCATAAACACTAACTGCATCAGGTCCATTATCACGTGCACGAACACTAAAATGATAGTTTGTTTCATATTCATAATCTAATGATTGAATTAATTGAATAATTCCAGTTGTTACATTAATTTGAAAAGGAAATAAAGATATTGGATTATCTGTCATAATTGTATAATTAATTAATGCATTTAAACCTTCATCATTATCATAAGCATGTATATGAAGAATATTTGTTCCAATGGGAGTATTTTCATATAATTTAATTTGATATTTTTCATGTTCAAATTTAGGAATATTATCATTTGAATCAAGAATATAAACATCTAATAATAATTCACCTATATGTTGTCCATCATTAGCTAAAATTTTCATTTTATATAGTTTTTTTATTTCATGATCAAGTGATTTTAATAAACGTAAACCAAGTTGATTTTCTGTTTGTAAATTAACAATTGAAAATGTTTCTAAAATTTCTTGTTTATTTATTTCATCTAATGATACAATACGATATTCAAGACGATCTTGATTATCTAAATCAGTTGCTGATGGAAATGATGCTATATAACCAATATCAGTATTTTCTAATAAACGTATTTGAAATGTTGATATAGGAAATATTGGTTGATTATCATTAATATTTTCAATAATTATATCTAATGATAATATATCAATTGTTTGTAATGTTGATGCTATAATTTCTAATGTTAATAAACATCGTTCACAATTACATGTATGTGTTTGACATAATTCTTCACGATCAATCATACGTTTTATAGATATACGTCCTGTTAATGAATCAACAATAAAAAATGAATTATGTGGACTTGAATCATATAGAAAAGAAAATTTTATTAAATTTTTTGCTGATGATGATGATGAATAAACACGAGTTAAATCATATATTGATGTACCAATAGAACTTTGTTCATTTAAAGATATTGATGGTAATCGTTGAATAGCTGTATGAATTGGTTTAATAATAAGAAGGAATAATAAAAAAACAATCATTAATATTGTCATATTAAATCTATATGAAGAAATAAAAAAAAAAAAGAAAAGAAAAGAAACTTATTAAAAGGTATATTTATAATTAGAAATTTAAATGAACAATCTAGTCTTTTTTCACTCTTTATACTATATAATAAGATTCTATCAAATCGATGCATATATATGAATAATTCGTTAGTTATATGCTCCACCCAATTTTCGAATTAATGACCGATGGCCTACAAGTGTGAACGTTCATCATCGAATCGTGATGTCTTTCTTTTTCTCATTCGAAGTTTGTAAACAAGTATGAGAACAAAGGGAAAAAAAAATGATGGATATATATTGTATACTACAACTACAAAGTAACTTCCTCTCCGGAAGAATGAATGTATGTGCATCTGAATCTTCCTGTACGTTCTCAAGCTATGAAGACAAAGTAAAGATTAAATAATGATGACGACATAGTCATGATTGATTTTTATATGTGGTAGCCGTCGAATGTCGATAGTGACAAATGAATGAAACGTCAAACAGTGTTAAATTTACTACATCAAGAACAATGATTTTGTAATCGGATCAAATCTGTGACGGTGATAGTCTAACGAAATATAAAACATAAATGACAAACAGACAGATAGACAGACACACAGACAGTCTCAGTTTCTTTAATAAATTATGCAAAATGAAAAAATCTATCTATTAGAAAATAATACCTTAATTGTATGCTATACAATGATCAAGGAGAACATATAGGTTCACACATCTCCTAATGACTAGAATAACTCAAATGCTTACAGTAAGAAATCTGTCTGTTCAATAATGTCATATATATATATATATATAGTTTGTCGTATGATTAAGAATATTTGATGTGTTCATGTAGACATAAATTCGATAGTGTCTAGGCGGGATGATGTCGTTCGAATTATTAATTTCGAATCCTTTACATACATTCAATGTACACATATATATTCACTAGTCAAATTAAAGTTCAGGGACACTGACATACATATACATTGTGAGGGATAAATTATTTTACTTTCACATGAGATACACCTTTCACGTCTAATTTATACATACGTGATGAACGCATCGTATGCAATGAATAACCTAAGACTAGTCTTATATGTAATATATCAAGACAGACATACTTCCACTTCTAATTGAAACGTAAAAAAAAAAAAAAAAAAGAATATGTATATATGAATGATAATGATGTTTATCAAAAGAGTACACGCCCAATAAATCGATTTAATTCCAATTAAATAATTGATATTTAGTTGATTACTCGCGTATCGTTCTAGTCTCTCGTTCTCTCTTAAATATTCTTCTAGATCGAGATTGATTATTATTTTTGATTTGACTAAAGCGTGAATGCATGTACTTTCGGATGACGAAATCCGTCTGGGTATATATTAAAAAAAAATCATAATAAAAATGATGGCAATTGTTGAGTCGATGTTCAAATAAGCAGAAGAAGAAGAAGAAGAAGAAGATGAGACGAATGAATAAGTGAGTCAGTGAAACTTCCGGTTGAATGGTCGAACTATACTGATAACGCACGTCTAGTTCAACACATGGATAAGAGAAGAAGTAGAAGAAGAAACAAAAAAAAAAAAGATTTTGTTAGATCGTATATATTGAATGACCGTAGGCTAACATTTAATTTTTGACCTGATTATCAGTCTATCTCATCGTTTCTTTTATTTTTGTTTCTCTGCCTCTAGCAAAAGCAAATAAACTTAAATATACTCATTGAAATTATGTTGTTTCATCTTACAAATGCACGAAATAGTCATTCATCAATGTCAATACTATGGATAGCACTAACTAATATTGATATTAATAATGTACGTGTATATATATTTCTTTAATTTTAGACAACAGCTGCTTAGTAGCAAGAATCATATATATAGGTATAAGTGGATAGCAATTGAATGAAATTGATAATAAAAAATGAAAAGAAAATTTGACTTGCTTTTTATCATGACATGATAAGAAATGGCTTCTGACGGAAACATCCTCTCTCGTTTTTTTTTCTCTTTCGCTTATTATTATTTTTTTTTTATAGGATTATGTAGTAAGATTGAAACAAATGCTACTGTCGGTAGTGGATGTTGTAAAAAAAAAAAAAAGATGAGAACAAGTGAGAACTAAAAAGACACAGAAAAAAAGAGAGGCAGTAACTGCTTCTGACTCGTTTATTAATTTGACATTGAATTATGTTCTACATTTCTTTTTTATATGTTATCAATGACATAGAAATGATGTGAAGAAAAGACAATGATGACAACCGACTAATCGAATGACAATCACACTTTCTCTATTTTTAAATCTTTACTCATTTTTCTTTCTTCTTTTTTGTTTCATTTATTATTGTTCTCATATGAATTCAAACAGGTACTACTGGTGCATGGTGGCATACGAATCAAGCATCAGTATTGAAGGTCAAGTGAGAATAGAACATAGTAGAACTATAACCTTTTTTTTTTGAATCAGAGGACATCGTTTGTCAATACATATACATATATTGACTTTGAATCACTGTATGAAGTAAAGTACAAATTGGAGTGGACAATGGATGAACAAAAAAAAAAAAAAAAAGAAGAGAAAAAAAGACAAAGAGATGGATGAATGAACGAAAAGAACAAGCTCGATCAACTTGCTCATTCATACTGTAATTATCTGCATCTTATTCACGTACAAGCAAGGTCATTCAATTGAAAAAAATAAACGTGACATAGAAGCCGAATAGAACTAATCTCTGTTCAATGAAAAAAATACACGAACATAACAAAAAAAGAACAATAATAACAGATAGTCATTAATAAAATAAGAAGATTTTAGACCTGTAGCAATTTTGATCTTTCTAATTGTCTTCCTGTTGTTTTCTATCATTATCTGTCTGTATGATGAGACATCTATACATATGTGCAGGTGATGCATACATACGCCTATTCAATTTTAAATATGCAATTTTTATAATGCATGAATAGACTGATTGTCAACTTTCTTTTCAACAATATGATAATAATACATAGTTGGTCAATACGTCCGAGTGAGTTGTTCCGGCTCGATGCAAACTAACACACCAATATAGAGGTACGAATTAGTAAATACTGAGAACTAATGCAATAGATAATGTCTGTTGTATTATTGAAAGAAATAACGTTGAAATAAAAAAAAAAAGAAAAAGGAAATGACTAGTCTACACTAACTATTGTACTATAATGTATAACTGTTAGACTTGTCCATCGACAATAGTTACTAGTCGTAGTGTTGAATGACATGGCTTGTTCATACACGAATAGTTACACGCAGACACATATTTTATTAATGATGATGAGTATTCATTGTATAGCAAACGATGAGAATTAGAACATGTCGGTCGATATTACTGACATATGACTTCGAAAAGCCTTCAATAATTATCTTATTCTTACTATTCTATATATTGAATGAATGCAAGTCAGTTTTGTTCTAAGAACACAATTAGAAGTTTGTATTACATTTCTCTAATGGTCGTCATTTTCTTTTTAAGAGTCACTCGCTTACTACTCGACCGCAACGAAGTTATTATCGTTGCAAGGCCAAGTGGTCAGTACATTTCTTATTTAACCTTACAATTTCCTTTCTTTATCCTTTAGCACCTGTCAATTTTTCAACTTACTTCGATCAAATATAACCTTCAACGTTGAATAGAATTGACTTTTTCTTTTGAAATAAATTCACTTTATTCTTATCAAAACATTTATGTATGTATGCGTGTATATATACATGTTCTCCTCCTTCCCAACTTCTTTTATATATGATTTTTTTTTTAAACTTAGCTTTAACAATATATATGTACTATTTTCTTACTACTATTGATTGATTGATGTTTTTAAATCAAATATATACATATATATATATAATATTGATACAACTTAATCAATGTCAACTTTTACCTTTATTCGATCAATCCTATGAGGAGAAAAAAAAAAGAATAACATAACTTATATATGATGTTACTTACCTTTTATCATTTTCTTTTTTATATAGACAATCAAATAAAATAAGAAAATATGATGATAATGATCATACATACCGCCCAAAGTGGCATAGCTAATACTATGAATACATTTGTCCATATATTCATTATTCTTCTTCTTCTTCTTTCTCGACCAGTAAACTCACTATCATAATTCTGACATTTTTCTGTTCTTCCTTTTTTTTTTCTCATACAAACTATCCTCTGTACTGTGCATGCCTAGAGTGAAGCGAGACTTTAATGGGTGTTGCATTTTTTTTTTCTTTTTTGGACTTTTTTCTTCTCTGTCCAGTACATAGAACGTGCGCATTATTTCTCATTTCCTATGGAGTAAAAAGAAAAACGGAACTTCTTTATTCTATCTTACATAAAAAGAGAAAATTAGAAAAAAAAAATGACAACTACGAAGAATGATCTAATTTAATAGATAGAAATAGCCGAACGATTATCGTTAATCAATGAAGTTCATGATAATATGGATTTTCATTAGGTTAATAATGTCACGTCGTTCAAATATATCTCCCATATGAAATGACGTAATGAACGAATAATAGCTGACCTTCCGTCACGGTGTTGAAAGTTACTCGTTTTTCTCTTTTTTTTATTTCCTACATTAAATCACTAAATGATACTATTGAGTATTTCAAAAAAAAACGATGTTTGCATGTGTGACACTAATCTGATCATAGTGGCAATAGATTAGGACGATTAAGAGCGAGAAAAAAAGAAAAAAAAGAAAAACGAAGCACTTGATAAGAAAAACAAATGACCTTCTTCTTCGGTCAATGGACATCGTTTAAGAAAGAAAAATGAGAAATGAATCACGATATTTATCATCTTAGGTTCTCTTTTGCGTAATATATATATTATATATATATGTGAATGATCATTGACCGCCAATGACCTTTATATACTAGTAGATTGTTGGTTATGTTATCATATATACATATGAATATAAAAGCAAAAAATTAATCGTTCGAATACAATTAAATAATGGAAGAACTGATTAGCATACTATATATATATATATATATACTGAAGAATATTACCAATAGAAAATATAACTGATCAATGAACAGTAAGTAATACAATGTGCTAGTATAATGTATTCGATACAGTTTTAAGAGAAAAAATTGCAAACATTATTCTATTTGCTATGAAAAACTAATCTATCGATATATACATATAGATTGGTCTTTATATTCTTTTCATTTGACATATAAAGAAAAAAAAAAAGAATTCATACCTGTCAACATTCATTGTAATCAAATGGAATCATCAAAAAAAAGAAAACATAACACATCCTTTTGCATAATAATATCTGACAATGTAATAATTAGTGGTTATCTATAACGGTTAATTTGGATTACATTTACTGATTTGCGCTTCACTTCGCCTCGATCACATGCCGAATTAGATTTGAACGTATATATATATATATAGAGAGAGAGAGAGATGTATATGACTGACTATAACACATTTAGCATGCATTACATAATTTTGTTTTTTATTGTTCAATCATCATCATCATCATCATCGACTCGCACTCAATGGCAGCGACACTTCATTGCACATATATATACATATATAAAAAGAAAAAAAAGAGAAAGTGAGAGAGAGAGAGTGTATATTGACAGTTTTCTTTGTGATTATAATAATTAAACAGATCAATACTTTCTTCCTTTGTAAATATACATATATGAGTGTTAGAAGCAGAATATAAGATGTTATCAGGAACATACATTCATACATCATAGAAGCAACTTATTTTCAATTCACATCGTGCGATACTCATTCGATATGTTGCTTACATAAGTGTCTGATGTTGTTGGCAATATTATACGAAAGTATATTGAAGTTATATATATATATATATATATAAAATCATTGACATATCCATTCTATCATAACAAAAAAAAAAAAAAAAAAGTAAACTTCAACATGTCTCAAGCATATTATTTTTCATATAGAATTAAAAATTGGAACAATCAAAATGAACATTCTATGCATAATAAAGATAGAACAAAAAATACATTGAAATCAATTGATTTTTTGATAAATGTAAGGTTTATAATGTTGAGTATTAGACAAATCATAACTACTGAGTTAAAAATACTCATTGAAAAATATAAAAGTCAAACAATGTGATTGAAGCGGAAATAAAGAAAATATATTATGTATTTCCTTCGGAATATGTTGGATTGATTGAATCTTCAAGAAGAAAATCTAGCATTATTTCTATTGATTCTTTTTGTTCTTTGATTATATTTATTCATAATAAACTTCAACTATATTTCCTCATGTTTTTCTTTGACTGAACGAAAACATTTTTATATATAATAATGTCATCAATACATTCAAAAGAATTACTATATATTGTAAACCATATGTTGAGTTCATGATATTAACACAAATCATATCTATTAATACGTCATCGCATAAAAGCTCTTTATGATAAGCCTTCTTATTCTGTAATAGAAATTTATTGATATTACGTATATAAGATTAACAGAGTGAATTAAAGAATCTATTCTCAACTATCGAAGGAAAAAAAAAACAACGATTTTCCATTAGTTTATTGATTATGATTAACTAAGAAACCAAAT